GGGAGTCGGCGAGGAAGGAAGGCCTCATTGACAGGAAAGCAGATGGAAGATGATGTGGTTGCATACACGGAGAGACACGTTTGAGGGTACCTCAGGCTGGGTAAGGGAGTCCGTTTAGCCAAATTATGATCTAGGGGAATATATCAGTTGGCTTCCCATGTTTCCTCATGAGTGTGTGTATGCATGCAGAGGCCTATTCTGTCACTCTCTGCCTTATTCCTTTGAGACAGGGTCTCACTGGACCTGGAGCTATACTGGAAGCCATGTCTCTGCCTTCTACAGTCACATGAATGCTGGCATCTGCTAAGGTCCTCAATCTTACACAGCAAGTGCTGCTGTCTGCTGAGCCATCCCACCTCAGCCCTGTCCCCAGCTTGACAAAACATTTCAGTGCTGGTGTACTTCTCAAGGGGGAGGGAGATGATGACGTCACGAAAACAGAATGAGAAGATAGTAATTTCCTTTGGTTTTCGAACGTCTAGTCCAAGGTCTGGCAGACGAATTCTTTGCAGTGGGAGGGCTGTGTGATGGTGGCTCGGAGCATTTAATGGGGCAAGCTGCTCATATCATAGAAGTCAAGACTGAGAAGGCTGGGGTGCCCATATGTCCCTCAAGGGCATACCCCAGTGGTCTAAGGACCTCCTCTAAAGATTTATGACCTCCCAGTGATGCCACTGTGGTTCTTTGGGAGAGACAGTCATGATCCAAATTATAGCAAGGTATTTGGAGAATAGGTTTCTACTGGCTGACATCTCTTCAATATCTATATTTTTAAAATAAATTATTCTTTTTGAGACAGGATCTCTTTATGTAGGTCAGACTCCTAGAACTCAGCTTGTAGACCAGGCTGGCCTTGAACTCACAAAGATCCTCCTGTCCCTCCCTGCTGAGTAGTGGAATTAAAGACGTGCACCATTACATCCTGCTGCAGTGTCTGTGTTTCTAAATTGCTTTGAAACAGTGCTCTCAGACAGTCGACTGCCGTCCCCGCCTCCCGGGACAGCCAGCAGTTTTGGTTCCACAGTAACTTGGGAAAAGAGGTGATAGTGGATTTTATGTAGTGCATAGAGGCTAGAGGTTCTATAAACAACCTGCCCTGCCCTGCCCTGCCCTGCCCTGCCCTGCCCTGCCCTGCCCTGCCCTTCACAGTGAAGCAGATTCACCGATACTGGGGTTGTAAAACCCCTCTTTAATAAGTGGCAGGCCTACTGGGATTGCTACCCCCTTCATCCTGTCTCAGGAGCGATGCTTGCCCACACAATTCACTTACAGTATTTCGTTCACTGCTTGGGGGAGGGGAGTCAGGAGGAAGCCAGCCTCCAGCTTAGTTTTAGACAGAATCACACACTGAACCCGAAGCTTACAGTTTCAGTGAGGCTGGGTGGCAGCAAGCTCCTGAGGTCTGCCTGGCCTCACACCCCAAAGCTGGGCTTACAGATAGGTGTGTAGACCCTGTTTCACAGAGATGCCGGGAAGCTGAACCCAGGATCTCATATTTTTACAGCAAGTACTCTTACCCACTGAGCATCTCCCCTGACCCTCATTCACCACTTTTCCTACTTTGCGGGTAAGAGTGGCCAGGGGAGTTCTGGGCTTGGCCCAGGTCTCCTACCCAGCAAGGCCTTGGTAATACAGCTTATCTCCGATGTAAAGGTAGCTGTTCTCTGCTCTTAGCTGCCAAGAGAGGCTTCTGGCTTTCAGGATTTTAGTTAGAGATTTACGTAGAGATTGGACTCAGCTGTGTCTGAGAGGCACTGGATAATTCCCAACATTGCAGAGCATCTTGGCCTGCTCTGAGAAACATAGCCACCAGCAGGGCTACAGTAATCACCCAGCTCTGACCTTAGCACTGAGGGAAGAGAGAAGATGGAAGATAAACCACACATTTCGGACTCTTGAATATACTGTTCACATCTGCCTAACCTGACACACTGTGTTTTCTTTATAGGCTTATATCTAGTGAGAAATGGATATTACAAAATGAACACATTAAAGCCTAAGTCTTTGGGCAAAGTAAATAATACAGGAATTGGCATGGTGGCGCACATCTATAATCTTAACAGTTGGAGGTAGGGAAAGGAGGATTAGGCATTCAGGACCAGTCACAGCTGCAGAGTGAGTTTGATGCCAGCCTGGGCAGAGGTAGGTGGATCTTGAGTTCCAGGCCAGCCTCATCTACATAGTGAGTGAGACTTGGTCTCAAAGCAAACAAGGAAAAAAAATCCCCAAACAAACAAATCCTAAAGGGCTAGATAGATGACTCGGCAGGGAAAGGCACTTGCTGCCTTGCTGAGGACCTGATTAGGTAACCAGAATCCATCTTGGTCATAGAGAACTGACTGCTGCATGTCCCTTGACCTCCATGCACTGTGACTCACATGCAATTGAATGCATGCACACATGCACATAGACAATAAGTAAGATGTAGTTTAGGGTTTTTTGTTTTGTTTTTAGGTTTTTCAAGACAGAGTTTCTTTGTGTAGCCCTGGCTGTCTTGGAACTCACTCTGTAGACCAGGCTGGCCTCAAACTCAAGATCTGTTTGCCCCTGCTGGGATTAAAGATGTGTACCACCACCACCACCACCAATGCCGTCTGGTTTTGCTTTGTTTTTGTAACTGAAATAGGGTTGAGGACTGGGGCTTGGATCCTAGTGTTCACATAAGACCAGATGTGGTATCAGGTATCTATGGTCCTAACACGCTGTGGTAAGATGTGGGGAGATGCTCAGGACTCTCGTAAACAAGCTAACTGGCATTTCCTTCCAGCAGCCTCTCAGAGACCCTGCCTCAGTGAGGTGAAGGCAGAGGCTGCCGCCCAAGGTCGTCACGTGACCTCCACATGCATGGTTCGCTTGCCTACACTTACATTCAAGCACCAATGTGCACACTCATGTACATACTTACAAAGACAAAAATAAAAAATAAAAAACAGGATTGTATAGAGAACCCCCACATCCCCATCAACATGAATGTCGGCATCTTACATTTGTATCTGAGATCTGTTTATTTGTATGTCTATGTGTTTTATTGTGCTTGTGTGATGTGGGAGAGGTCTCAGGATGTGACACTTGGGTGGAGGTCGGAAGACAGCTCTGTGGAATCGTTCTACTCTTATGTGCCTTCCAGGGATCAGGCTTATGCACTTCTACCCACTGAGCTATCCCACTGGCCTGGATTTTTGTTTTTTGAAACTAGACTTGATTATGAGCCCAGACTGGTCTCATTCCGCATGGCCTCCTGAATGAACTGTCATCGTGCCTGCTTCTATTTGTTTCTGGGGCCTGAAAGTAGCCTTATATTCACCAGGCAAGCATTTTAGCAATTGAACTCCATCCCCAAATCCATTGGTGTTTTCAACAGAGTGGAGTCATCACTGTGGCCAGTTTTGGAACACTGAGTCTCCTGAGTGCTGAGATTAAAGGCATGTACCACTACACTCAGCTTTAAAAAAAAAAAAAAAAAAAAAAAAAGAGGCTAAAAATGTCAGGAGTGCTTTTGTCTTGTTTAATGACTCTTAATGAAAGGTGGGAAACCCCTTGCTAACTACATATTGCTCAGTTGTCCCAGAAAGACAGGAATGTCAGCCCACCCTAGGGTAGCACTCCATATCCGACCATCTTGTCAGTACTGGAGGCCTGGAACCCTGCCTCTGCCCAGCCAAGGCAACACCAGGAACAGCAGTTGCAAGGTCAATGCAAAGGGCCTCTGGTATCTGGAAGACCGGCTGAGCTGAGGCCTCCAGAGTAGGTCAGGGGGTAACCTGTGTGAGCCCAGAGAGGCTCATTTCCCAGAGCTAGGCTTCAGCCTTCTGCCACGCAGAGTAGCAGCACTGGCTGGCCTGGGTGCTTTGAGACAGGTGCCCAGCACTGAGGTGAAGTGCACAGGGCCAAGCCTGGTAGATGCCCAGGCATCTGAGCAGGCACAGTGGGATTTCGGCCTCTTCATTCTCAGGCATGTCTGGTTCCTGTGCCTGTTCTCACCTATTAGATGGCTCACTAAGAATGGTCTGGAAGGGATCTGTGCTAGGCATTGATGAGGCTTCTAAGATAGAAACTCAATAACCAGCGTATTAGTCACCAGAAGCCCTGGAAAGGCTGGGTGGGGCTACCAGGAAAGGTACAGGGAGGGCATCTGTCCAGGGTTCCTCTGCAGTCTCTCAACCTCAGGGCGCTGAGGAAGTTCTATCTCCCCCAGGTTCCACTCCAGGTCCATTTGTTAGAGCCCCAGGCTCAGGGGCCTCCTCCACTAATTGCCTTGGTTCTTCTCTTAGGACAGAGCCTCTGGGAGGAAGAGGAAGAAGGGGAAGAACTACCCGTCTGCCAGAGAGCTGAAGGTGGCCTGAGGGCCAGGCTCTCAGACCCAGGATGCCCCTGCCTGAGCCCAATGAGCAGGAGAGTGAGCGTGTGAAAGCTGGCCAAGAGCCATCTCTTGGAGCCAGGAAACCCCAAGAGTCCTCCAATCTGGTCCTGGCCAAGGATAAAGGGGGATCCAAACCGACGGGTGCCGTGTCCCTGGAGATGCCGGGCCCTGCCACCCAATCCAGCAACACCCCCCAGACCTTGCCAGCTAAGAAGCAGGGGCGGATAATTCACCGGAAGCGTAGCAGAGTAGATTCTGGTGAGATTCCCTGGCCCTGCTGACCCTGGCTCTGACAAACCTGTTGACCTGCCCACCCCCATTGTCCATCGGGGTGAGCTTGGATACCCCATTCTTCCTTTCAGTTGAGCATCTTAGACTCTAAGCACACCCTGTGTCCCAAGCACCAGGCCCTCTCCCCAAGCGCATGGGAACTGTAGCTATATGCAGAATTCTCTAAACTCCTTAAATCCTCTCCCTTCATCACAGAAACAGCTTCTAAAACCTGGGCTTGCCTGGAAGCTAGGAGCCTGAGAAGGCATCCTGCCCACAGGATCCTACCTTATTCCAAGACCCGCTCTCCAAGGCCCCTGACCCCGAGCCTTGCCCTGGAGAATCTAACCCAGCCTTTTCATCCCCCTAGCTGCTCCACAGCCCCTGGAGTTCCTGAAGACCCCGTATGGGGGCCGCCTTCTAGTGTACAAATCATACCTGTACAAGCAAGAAAAGGCTGTGGGGGACAAGGTGTACTGGAAGTGCCGCAAGCACTCGGAGCTCCGCTGCCGGGGCCGGGCCATCACCCGTGGCTTCCGAGTCACTGTGATGCGGGACCACTGTCACCCACCTGATAAGGAGGGCCTCAAGGTCCGGCACCAGAAGAAGAAGCTGCCTCACTCAGACCTGCCTGAAGGCTCTGAAGGCCAAGAAGATGGGGTGAGCCTATGGCTGTACCCTGTAGAACCAGAGCCCACCCCTCAGCCAATCCCTGAAACCCCAGAGGAGGACCAGGGGTACCGATCCCTGGCACTGCAGAGCTTGCCTCCCAAGAAACGTCCCACCCCAGGAGTGGGTGAGTACGTGCCCTCTCCTCACTTGGGTGAGGAAGAGGAAGACTCCTCAGATCCTTCATGCCCAAATAAAAATGGTGTTTCGTGTGGGTTCAAAATGTGTTCAATGTCAAAAATAGAAATGTATCCCAGTCATCATTAAGCCCACGGGATAGACGGCATTATGATTTGGGGGTCCCAGGGCCTTTCAGGATTTCCCAGTGCAGCAGGGCCTGGTGTGGGTCCTAGAAAACTGTGTGCTGATGGGCAGTGATCCAGGCTAAGTTTGGGTAGGGTTCCCAGGGGCAGGGCGTGCCTTTGAGTCCCAGGCTCAAACTCCAATCCTATTGATGAAGGCCTTCAGTCTCAGAAAATTCACATGTGTTGGGGGTCTCAGGAGCTTATTCATAACTGAGGCAGGTTGTGGAACTTGTGGGGTGATGCCAATCAAATCATTCTGCTCTGCTTCCCTAGGGAGAGGTGGTGCGCAGTCTTAGAATAGGTGGGTGTGGCTTCCAGAATGCTGGGTGTCTCCGACCCATGAGGATCTGAGTGACCGCACTGGTTTTGGTGGAAGGGAGTATCTTTTCAATATGTTAAGAATACTTGAGTGTGTGTCTCTATTGCTCAAAAAGAAGGGCTGAGGATGTTGCTCAGTGGTAGAGCTTTGCCTGGTGTGTTCCAGACCTTCGACTTAACTCTATACACTGTAAAAACAAAAGCTAGACAAAAATTTTGAACAAACCCTAGAAAAATATGGCCAAGAATAGCCCAGAACATAACCTGCTGAATTAGAGCCCAGCATGGCCCCCCCACTGTGGTGTGAACTGGGGTGCTGAGGTCTAATTGACTTGGAGAAGGAACCCTTGTTCTTCTTGGGTGGCTTGGTGGGAATGCACTGGGCTTCATACATGCCCAGCCCAGGGAAGCATGCTGACATTTGGGAGACAATTAACTTGGCGGTTCCTCCTGGGACCCCTGGACTCTTGTCCTTGGTTTGTGACCTTGCTGGGTTCTTCCTCCAGTGCGGTATCGGCCCCTTGAGTTCCTGAAGACCTGCTATGGGGGCACTTTCCTGGTGCACCAGTCCTTCCTCTACAAGCGGGAGAAGACTGTGGGGAGCAAGGTGTACTGGACCTGCCGGGAGCATGCGGTCAATGGCTGCCGTAGCCGGGCCATCACCCAGGGCCAGCGAGTGACGGTGATGCGCAGCCACTGCCACTCACCTGACATGGAAGGCCTGCAGGCCCGGCGACAGCAGGAGAAGACCATAAAGAAGATACAAGCAAGACGAATTGGTGCTGGGGACCTGGAGGACTGCGATGACATCGAAGACTCGCTGCTCCAAGGGGTGGACAGCCTGTTCTACCGTAGGGCAAAGGGCACACTGACTCTCAGTAGGTCTAAGTCTAAGTCCAAGTCCAGGTCCAGGTCCAGGTCCAAGTCCAAGTCCAAGTCCAGAAAACGTCAGAAAAAGGCACGTCAGGAACCTTTGCAGGAACCCCCCGAGGAAGACCAGGACGTGGATCCCCGTAAGTCTTAGTGTTTGGGGCCTGCCGGCCGGAGTTGGCTGCCTCATTTTGGTAGGGGGTGGCCAGCCTTCTCAACCTACCCCTGCATTCTGAATCTGCACCCTCCCCTAACTGCCTCTCTTGTGCCCTGCAGGAGGTCCAGAGTTTCTGAAGACCCCTCTTGGGGGCAACTTCCTGGTATACGAGTCCTTCCTCTACAGGAGGGAGAAAGCGGCTGGGGAGAAGGTGTACTGGACCTGCCGGGACCAGGCACGAATGGGCTGTCGCAGCCGAGCCATCACCCAGGGCCGGCAGGTGACTGTGATGCGGAACCACTGTCATCCACCTGACCTGTTAGGACTGGAGACTATGAGGCAGCGGGAGAAACGCCCCGGCCCCACTCAGTGGGATGGTCCAGGTACCTGTGGTGACCCCACAGCTTTTTCTATTAGCTATGCCTATCCTGCCCTCCTTCCTTGTCAATATCCTGACAGTCACAGTCCTCTCCTCCGTGCCCCCCACTTCTGCCCTCAAATTCAGTCTGTCTGGGATCTGCTCTCCCAGGCTCCTCTTTGCCTACCTACCACTCTTCCAGGCCCCAAACCTGATAAGCCTAATCTCCCGTCCTCTGTTATCTGAAGAGTTATCAGTAGACACTGAACGGGTAAGTAAGGCCCCATTCCCGCAGTGTGAACAGAGGGCAACAGTCATTCCCAAGTCCAGGAGCTAAAGAGCCTCCCTCTCCTGAGATTTGTTTGGTGCACACCTGCATGCCAGAATCCTAGCTCTGCCCATTTGGCTCCAAAAGAAGCTGGAATCTGCATACAGAAAGTGGTTGTGCCCAGCCTCCCAGTCTGGTAGTTTTTGGAGTCCTCTGAGATGCCTTTTTGTCCAAAGCTTATTCCAAAAACAGGAGGTGTTTTATCATCCGTATTTCCTTTTTGTTGCATTTCTGTGACACCTCATAAACAGAGATAGTACCAGGACATGGCATCACTTCTGCCTCATGCATCCCTCCTTTAAGCCTTTGCTTCACCGTTTCTTAAAATGCATTTTACGGCAATCTCCTTGTTACCTGCTAACATCCAGCCAGAGGAACTGATTTAGCCTTGGTCTACTTTTTAAGTAGGTTTTGTGCTTTTTGTTTGACTTTAGGTTGTTTTGTTTCTTGAAACGGTCTCAATTCTCAACTATGTTGCTCTGGGTGGCCTCAGACTTAGAGATCTGCCATGCCTCTGTGTGTGTGTGCATGCGTGTGTGCATGCACATATGTATTTGCATACTTGGCATACGTGTATTGGTTCAAGGGCAACATGTAGGAGTCAGTGTTTTTCTTCTGTCGTGTAGGTCCTGGGGATTGAACTCAGATTGATAGTCTTGGCAACAAGTGCCTTTGTTTTCTAAACTGTCTCATTAGCTCTTGCCTTCTGTTCTTGTCAAATTCTGCCCCTAGTGAGCTGGGACTATCCTGCCCTTCTCCTTCCTTCCCTTGTGGCTGCTCAGCAGCTGCTGTGTGTACCTCTTTTTTCAGGGAGGCATTACATCACATCAGCAGAGGACCCCAAAGCTTGCTGAGTCCTGCTTCAGCCTTGCCTGGGGGCTGATGCCAGGCCTGGCCATCACCTAGATTCCCTGGCTAGCTGCCCTACCTCTGGGCTTTCTTGTCTTGATTTGAGAGGTCCTAGAGCCAGTCATCCCGGAGGACCCACTTGAGAACCTTTTCCCACGCACTCACTGCACAGTGCGGCTGTTGGAGAGTGCCAGGCCGTAAAGCGTCACTCCACAATAGTGGAATCTGTTTGAAAAGAACGTGTGCTTTTCTTACGGTTGACCCCATGTATTGACCAGATTCTGCTTCAGGACTCGGGCGTCCTCTGCCTCCCTGATGTTCCTAGACTGTGGTTCAACAGGGGCCTTTTCTGACCATAACTTGTGTTCTTCAACACAGTATCTTCCTTATTTGTTTTTGTTCTGTTCTGTTTTGAGACAGGGTCTCTCCTTATGTAGTCCAGACTGTCCTAGAGCTTGCTATGTTAGACCAGGCTAGACTTGAGCTTGCAGAGATCCTCTTGCCTCTGCCCAAGTGCTGGGATTAAAGGTATGAGCCACCATGCCTGGTGCAACCCAGTGTCTTCCCACATGCCTACCTAATGTTTCAGGACTGGAGTTCCATCTGCCGATCCTCCTGTGATGACCACGATCACTTTCGCAGTACTGTCTGAGATTTCTTGGTTTTGTTTTCTGTTTCTTCTACTGAAGCTTTAAGTTTCTGCCCTCACACAAAGGGCAGAATACAAAAATGACTCTTTGTATTGTGCCTAGTCTCAGCAGTATGGTGGCCCCACCTGTACCCTGCTGAGGCAATAGCTGGTCTCTCCAGGCACAGCCCGCACCTGCCTGCTCTGGCGTCTGTCTTCCAGCAACTTCTCCTGTGTGCATTGGCCTTTCAGGCCTTCTCATGTTAAAGGAAGGCCCTGCCCTGTGCGTACATGGGGCCTAACTGCCTTTGCAGAGCTGGCAACTGTAGTTCTGGGTCTTAGGAACACTCCAGCACAAGTTCTGCCTCCTCCCTTTCAGTGTCTCGTCTCTTCCACTGGGTCGCCCTGCTTTGTTCCTTATATATAAACATACCTTGATACCACTGTGCCTCCAGTTCCCCCAGTGCCTCTCTGACTCAGCCGCCGTCTACATGCTTGGTGTAGATCTTGTCGCAAGGCTTGGCTGAGTTCTGTTGCTTACTGTGTGTATATGAGTGTTTTTCCTTCATTGGCGGCCCGAAGGCAGCATTGGATTCCCAGGAACTGGAGTTACAGACGGCTGTGAACTACTGTGTGGGTGTTGGAAACTGAACCTGGGTCCTCGGAAAGAGCAGCCATCTTTCTAGCCCCTTGGCTCAAGTTTTATCTTGCACATCCTTAATATTTTAGAGTTTCTCTGCCTCTGTTCGTTCTGTGGGTGTCTTTGCTTACTGTTTCTCTGTCCTTGGACGCTACTCTTTTACTTACTGAAAGCCATTTTTTTAATGTTCATGTGTATAGCTGTTCTGCCTGTATGTATGTTTATGTACCGTGTGTGTGCCTTGTGTCCATAGAGGCTGTGCTTGGTACCTATGGATGCCAGAGGTGGGGATCAGACCCCTGAAACTGGAGTTACAGATGGTTGTAAGCCTTTGTGTGGTTACTGGGAATCAAACCTGGCTCCTCTGGAAGAGCAACCTGTCCTCTTAATGGCTTAACTTACATCTCTCCAGCCTTTCCCTGACAAACATTTTACTCCAGTGTGGAGGAGGTGGGCCATTTCCTCTGGGCTGCTCTGCTCCGCAGGTGGTCCTAACCTCCTGGCTTCCTTCTCCACCATTCTAGGTGCTCTGGAATCAGGTGCTTCTACCCAAGCCCTCAGCCTCTCGGGGCTCCCTCCCTCGCAGCTTTTTTCATCATACGATGACTCCCTAGTCTGTCACTGTCTTCCATGCTCCTACTAGTATGGCCCATTAAACCCTGCTTAATGTGTTCAACTGCTTTGCTAATCCAAAGCCCACACCCCACCAACAGGCAGCACGATGAGGCCTGCCGCAGCAGGACCTGCTGCCTAGGACCAGTTTCTCTTAGTCCCTGTTCTGTTCCAGAACCACAGCAACTTTTAGATAAAAGAATGTGTTTAACTGGGACTTGCTTACGTTTTCAGAGATTTGGTTCATTATTGTCGTGGCAGGAAACATGACAGCACACAGGCAGACATGGTGCTGGAGAAGCAGTTCTGCACTTTAGCGAAACCCTGTCTCGAAAAACCAAAAAAAAAAGAAAGAAAGAAAGAAAGAAAGAAAAAAAGGAAGAAAGTTCTATATCTGCATCTGCAGGCAGCAGGAAAAGAGAGAGCCACTGGGTCTGACTTGGGCTTCTGAAACCTCCCCCCCCCCAAAAAAAAATCCCACCCCAGTGACATACTCCCTCCAACAAAGCCACACCCCCAGTCCTTTCAAATAGTGCCACTCTCTGGTGACCAAGCATTCAAATCTATGAGGCTATTTGAGGGGGCCATTCCTGTTCAGACCACCACAGGAACCCTTGTGCCTGGTCAAAATGAGGACAGGGAAGGTGTGGGGGTGGGCAGAGAGTCCTCTTGGCAAGGCCAGGCTGTCCTTCAGGTTCCTCTTACCTCCCAGCTCAAGCTTAAGCCCCCTAAACACATGTGCACACCCAGGCTCATGAGCCGCACTCCTCCCTTCAGCTTTGAGCCACTTTGACCCCACTCTTGGAAGTACAGAGTACCTGCCCTCTGACCTGGAGGGTGCCTCGTATAAGTGAACAGACACACACCCTGCCCCTTCCCACGCTATCATCATGGAAGCCAGTCTCCAGGCTTGGGACAGTGTGGTTTGAGGACACTGTGAGAAGAGGGGAGGGCGTGAAGTGGGTGATGGGACCATTCCCCAGTCTTCCTCTCTGAAGGTCAGGTTCAGCTTCCATGCCCCCTTCTCTGATTGCCTCCCTGGTTTCTTTGCAGATGGGCCTGAGTTCCTGAAGACCCCTCTCGGGGGCAGCTTCCTGGTGTACGAGTCCTTCCTCTATAGGCGGGAGAAAGCAACTGGCGACAAAATCTACTGGACCTGCCGGGACCAGGCACGCATGGGCTGTCGCAGCCGAGCCATCACCCAGGGCCAGCGGGTGATGGTCATGCGCAGGCATTGCCACCCACCTGATATGGGTGGCCTGGAAGCCCTGCGACAGCGGGAGAACTTCCCCAACCTGACCAACTGGGAAGGCCCAGGTATGTGGAGGGAGAGTAGCTTCTCTTGACTGCCCTACAACATCCTGATCCCTTTCCTGGCTCTGTGCTTGAGGCACTAATTTTACCACACGATGGATTGCTATTGCTGAGAGACTAGTTCTGGTCCAAAGAAAAAGTAGGAGTGGTAGGCCCGAGGTGGCATGGCGGTCAGTCACCAGAAGTGCACATGCTCATGATTGAGCGCTGAAGACCCTGCATCCCAGGGCCTCCTCTTTCTCCTGCCGTCTCCCTGGGCCAGTTCTGCTTCAGCATCTGTTTTCATGTGCTCTCTCTGGACACACCCCCAATGTCACATGGCCGTTGACCTGAGCTTCTTAAAAAGCATGAGAATGGCTTTGTGTCAAGGACAGCTGGTGGACAGGGTTATGACAGGCCCCCAGCAAGATACCTCCTCTGTCTGGGAGACCCCAGTGGTCATGGAGTTTGTGGTCTGGGGTGGCCTCAGCAGAGCTCCAGGGACACTGGCGCCCTGCAAAGGAAAGCAGGTGTGTTTCAGAGTCTCTTGTGGCTGACCGTTAGTCCCAGAGTCCTGAGGCAGGCAAAGGGAAGGGGGTAGGGACCAGAGTGGATCCTCCTGGGCCCAGCTCCTGCTGCCGACCCTTGGCTCACAGCCTGATTCTGCCCTACAGAGCCTGTGCAGCCACTGGAGTTCCTGCAGACATCCCTCGGAGGTCGGTTCCTGGTGTATGAGTCCTTCTTGTACAGGAAGGAGAAGGCGGCTGGGGAGAAGGTATACTGGATGTGCCGGGACCAGGCTCGGCTGGGCTGTCGCAGCCGAGCCATCACCCAGGGCCGGCGGGTCATGGTGATGCGGAGCCACTGCCACCCGCCTGACCTGGATGGTCTGGAGGCCCTGCGGCAGCGAGAGCGCGAGCGGCTCCCCAGTGTAGCCAAGAAGAAGAAGAAAAGTATGTACTGAGTGACCAGGAACTTTGGGCTCAGCTTCACATTCCAGAACCTTCTCTCATTCCTATTGATCCCTTCCCATGGTCATGAAACAATACCTACATCTTCTCATTTTTTTGGTCCTTCCCATTGACTTGAAAACTTGAAACCATAAAACCATACCTCCATCTTCCTAGTCTAGATCAGATCCCATTTCAAATTGATCTTCCTTTTTTTTTTGTTCCCCCTTCCTCCGCCAAGACAGTGTTCTCTGTGTAATGGCAGTCCTGGCTGTCCTAGAACTCACTGTAGACCAGGCTGGCCTTAAACTCAGTGATCTTCCTGCCTCTGCCTCTGTGTGCTAGGATTAAAGGCGTGCACCACCATGCGAGGCTTAATCTTCCTCTTCTAAGACCACTCAATACTTTATAGGTCATTATCTTCTGAAAAATCTGATTTAAAAAAATATGTATATATAGACTACCCTGGAAGGATGCAGTGATTGTGCGTTTGTAAACATGTACCACCACATGTTTGCAATAATTTTTTTTCAATTGAAAATTAGTTCTCTTTATTTATATAAACAAATCTTTTTGTTTTATCATTGAAATAGTGTCTATATAGCCCAGCTTAGCATCAAACTCAGGATGTTTTAGGACAGTCTTGAATTCTGATTATCTTGCCCTCACAAGTGCTAGGATTACAAATGTGTGCTCTTACTGTTGTACCCGGGTTCAGTTCCTGGTAAGGGAAGCTTTTACTGGGCTGGAGAGATGGCTCAGAGGTTAAGAGCGCTTGCTGTTCTTTCAGAGGACCCAGGTTAGCTCCCAGCACCCACTTGTGGCTCAGAACTCTCTGTTACTCCGGTTATAGGAGCTTTACCACTCTCTTCTGTCACGCAGACAGGTGGTTTGCGACAAAATACCTCAACACACAAACCCTTAAAAAAATAAATGGCGAGCAGGAAGAAAGAGGTCATATTGCCACATAGAGTGGAAAAGAATCTTGGGGCTGGAGAGATGGCGCAGTAGTTGGAGCACTGGCTGCTCTAGCAGAGGACTCAGTCTTGGATCCCAGCGCCCATGTCCTGCCATTTATAGGCTTCTGTCATGCTCTTCAGGCCTCTGAGGGTGCACATGGCATATAGACACACATGTACTACACCCAAATAAAGATTTAAACTTAAGTGATAGACAGGTGTGTCAGGGAGGGAGACCCAGGGAGAGTTTTATGAGTTCAAGGCCAGCCTAGTTTACATAGCAAGACCTTGTCTCAAAAATACATAAATAAGTAGATGAGTAAAAGAATCATGGGCTATTACAGACAATGGCGTGTGAGACCCCGCATTTAATGCCCAGAACTACAAAGGAGTGATAAAAGGCACGGGAACTGATTGAAGAAGAAGCTAGAGCAGGAATCCCTGGAAATGGGCCCTCTGCCCTCCAGCCTTCAGGTGGCTGTGGTCCTGGTGACATCTCAACTTCGTGGCCAGTCAGAACCACCTAGCCCAGACACGCTTAGAATTTTGACTCCCAGAAGCTCCTTTGGGTGACTTGTGACAGTGTATTGGGTAACTACAAGTCTGCTGGCTCTCAGGAGAACCTCAGGCACCAGTTTTATCTTTGCTGAGGAAAAAAAAAACTAGAGCATGCCTGTCATCCCAGCACTCAGGAGGCCAAGTCAGGAAGAACACCAGTTCAAAGCCTGCCTGGGCTACATGGCCAGTCCAAGCCTCCTCAGCTATATAGTGAGATAGGGCTTTAAAAAAAAGCAAAAGTCGGACTTAGATCATAAATAAATCTTTGGGGGTTTTTTATTGTTATTTTTGTTTTGCTTTTGAGTTAGGGCTTCTCTGTATAGCCCTGCCTCTCCTGGAACTTACTCTGTAGACCAGGCTGGCCTTGAACTCAGAGATCTACCTACCTCTGACTCCTGAGTGCTTGATTTCTGTGGTTTTCATGTGGTTGTTGGTTGGTTTTTGGGTTCTGTTTGTTTGTTTGTTTTTTGAGACAGGGTCTCTAATTATAGCCCAGGCTATCCTTGAACTCACTAGGTAGACCAAGCTGGCCACGAGATAAGCCTCCTGAGTGTTGGGTGGGGTTAAAGGCATGTGCCACCATGCCTGGCTTAAATAAATCTTTGGGTTTTGTTTTTCATTGTTTTGTTTTGAGACAGGGTTTCTTATAGGTTTTCTCTGTGACTCTGACTGTCCTGGAACTCTCTTTGTAGACCAGGCTGGCCTTGAACTCACAGAGATCCACCTACCTCTGCTTCCTGTACTGGGATTAAAGGCATGTGCAGCCACTTCTTAGCTAAATAAAACCTTTGTAATGGTACACATTTTTCTGTCATCAGGAACATCAAAGAAGAGCAAAAACTGAGCAATGGGTCCTGATGAGGCAAGTCTTCTCTGAAAGAACAGAGGAGCCACCAACACCCCCGATGCTTCTTGTCGGTGCAGGCACTTCCCATCCACTCAGATTTGCTTGACAACTCCTTCACTCTCTAGAGCATCGACGGCCTTCACATTTCCTCAGAGGTCCCCAGGAGGATTACTTGGACCTTGGATGGTATCCTGTGTTGGCAAAAGAATAGTGCGAAGCTGATGGGTAGCCTGCAGACCCGTGCCATGCTGCTGTCGCCCTTATGACCTTAGACAGCTGAAGAGAATGTGTCTGGACTGATATACCTCAACCCCACTCTGCTGCCCATGGCCTCAGCACCATCTGCTTCCAGAGCATGCGCCTTACAGAGAGCTCTCCAGTGGGTGTGGCCTTTGTGAGCTCCATTAGAGTTCAGCACCAATGAATTTGTCCTGAGCCAGGGTGTGTATGGGAACTTCTTGACACCCTCTGAAGACAGTACCAGTCAAGGGGGGTGGGGGGTGTTTGTTTTGTGTTTTGCATCTTTTAGGGACAGATGCTGGAGCCTTCCTGGTCTTCAGTCACTCGCTGCTTACTAGGACCGTCAGCCCCAACCGTGACAGAGCCGGCCGGTCTCCAGGCTTTGTCCTACCTTCTCTCAGACTTTGCATCTTACATTCTGTCCTAGCTTCAATTAAACCTGTCCACAGTTCTCAGGGCAGCAGAAGTTCCTGGAGGGAGCCAGCCTAGATGTCAGGAAGAGGTGACAGCAGATAAACATGCTGTGGGCAGCTGCACCACTGAGAATTGTCTACGTGGTGTTCCTGATACACAAGGGTAATTAGATGGCTTCAAAGCCTGCCGCTTACAGAAGAGTTTAGCAGAACAAAGAGAGCCATGCTACAGGTGACACTAACATCCCTGGGAACTGCAGAACTTTCTGCATGCTGCACCCTAGACAGAGCTGTCCTTACCCTGTCATAGAGCTGCATGCTCCTCTCCTTGCAAGCAAGCCATGAAGCAGCCACCCCTGTGGAATATTGATGGCCTGGTGCCTACCACTGGCTTCTGCTCCTCTTCTTCCCTCAATAAACCCTATTTAATCTCATGGTACAGAGCTGCTGTGTTGACACCCCCTCTGCAACAACAGGCTGCTGCCACAAAGCCGCATACTGTCTCTGCCCAGTGCTGGGGAAGTAATGGGTTTGGTTGGCAACTCCAGGGCTATGGTGTTTGCTTGGCCTAGGCCAAGACTGGGAGGGGATCTGCTGATGTAGGGAAGGCTTGCAGAGTGGGCCATGTGCCTGGATCCTTCATGAGCTCACTTGAGTGAGTTGAGGTGAGCCCAAAGTGGAAGTGGTACACCAAACCAAGGCCAGGCTTGCTTCTCGAGACCCTGGATACCAACCATCTGGACAGGTAACTGCCCACTTCTCAGCCCATTACCCAGGCCTGACTACCAGTCACCCTGGGTCTACACCTGAGATCAGACAGTCTGGGGACGGGGAAAGTGCTCGCTGCAGCCATGAGGATCTGAGTCAGATTCCCAGCAACACTGTGAAAAATTGGGCCCAGTGCGCATGTCTGTAATCTCAGGTGGATTACACTGGGTAGGTAGAGACGAGGGTTTCAAACAGACTCAACAAGTCTTTGCTTGGTTTGATTTGTTTTTTTGAGACAGGGTTTCTCTGTGTAGCCCTGCTTCTGAGTAGCTGTTCTGGAACTCTTTCTATAGACCAGGCTGGCCTCAAACTCAGAGATCCACCTGCCTCTGGCTCCTGAGTGCTGGGATTAAAGGTGTGCGCTGTCACCACCCAGCAACAGTGGGTATTTTGGTATACAACCCCGTTTCTCTGCTTCCAGTTCACCTGTGACAGCAGCAACACCCACACCCGCCTGTGCTTCCAGGCGCCACCTCAGCCACCCGTTGGTGCAGGCTCCGCAGTCCCGCCATGGAGTCCTCTCCATGCTGTGCAGCAGCTATGACTACCTGGTTGAAGGGCCGGATGCTAGAGATGTAGTTAAGGACCCTCTTAGGATACACAAGCTTTAGGTCCTCTCTCACTCGCTTCATCCTACAGCCTCTCTCTCCGGAAGGTCAAAAGAAGATGTACAGTACTTAGGGGAGGCCAGTCTTGTGTTCTCATTCTGGAGGGTTCTAACAGCCCCAGTGTGACCTACCTGACCACAGCAGGGGCCCCTTCCAAAAAGGGTACTAGAAGCTAGGCAGGCTCTCCTGATAGCATTGGGCATTTGTACCCTGCCCAAAGTGGCCTCACTCCTCACTGCCCTCAGACCCGCCAGCCTGTCCTGTTTGGCACACATTATGACTTTAGAACAAATTGCCAGGAACAACTGCCAAAACCTCCTATTTATTATCTCATGCTTTTGGTGAACAAGGACTCAGAGGGCTGAACAGCGTCCTCTGCCTGGGGTCACACAGCTGCAATCAAGGTGGCGGTGTCACATTGGAGGCTCATCCTCTCCTGGGCAGCGGTGGGCAGAGCAGACCCTTGGACACTTCACACGCCAAATCCGGCCATCTGGGCTCACCATCGCAACGTTTGTTTTGTTTGAGACTCAAGGTCTCGCACTCTATGTGCCTGTAGTCCCAGTATTGAGACTCGAGGTCTCTCACTGTATGCGCCTGTAGTCCCAGTACTCAGGGAGTCAAGGAGGATCTCAAAACAGACTTGAGGCCAGTTGGGGCTACATAGCAAGTTCAGGCCAGCCTGAGCTACACAGCAGTCCCTGTTGAGAGCTAAGGCAGGGCCTTGCTTTGTTACCCAGGCTGGCCTTATGTCTTGGACTCAAGTGATCCTGCTGCCTCACCCTGCCAAGTTAGCTTAGACCACAGGCATGCCCCACTTTCCCTGGCCCCATCTCTTGCTTAACGCAGACAATTTAATTAATTAGAGACTCTAATGAATCTGCACCAATCCCTCCACCACATAGCACAGCCTCATCAGAGAAGAGTGTGGTGCACACAGGGTTACATCTGCATTCCAGAGGACTGATTCACGAGCCCGTGGACCTCCAGGGACAGGAATCTTGGGGACAGTTTCCAGTTCTACCTACTGCAATCTAACTAATCTCCCCTTAACTCGGGTGGCTCTGGGGATCTTAGGAGTCCAGGTTCCAGTGCTTCTAGTCTGGGAAAGCAGGCAAGGGGGTCGGCTGCAGCCGTGACCTGACCCAGAAAGCTCACCGGCTTAGTGCTCAGCAGCCAGGGATGCCAGACATGCTCCAGGAGGCCCTGACCTTTCTGGTGCCTAGGCTGAACCAAGGAAGCTCAGGGGCTGCAAAGGCTGAGAGCTCTGCGGGAACAGTGACAAAGCTCTTGGGAGTGGACGGAGGTCAGGTGCAGCTTCCTTGTGCTGGCTGTGCCATGACATCACACCCATGAGGACAGGCCACTGTTAAAGATGGGGTAACCAGAACCTCTGCTTCTTCAGGGTGGCTTTGGGAGAAGGAAGCTTTGCCGCCACAAGCCAGAGGCGAGACACTTGTACTAGTGCCTCCCTCTCTTGGGCCAGACTCCTGTGGGACAAGGACGCACTCCTCACCTCACCGACAGTCACACTGCCCTCCTCTCATGGGCTTAGTCCTCCATCCACATTAATGGTTTTCCAAATATTCGCAGGGTGCTTGGCAGATACTACAACCTGCTCTGAGCAGGGAGGGAGGGATCCTCTTCATACCCGAAGCTGAAGAGCGGTCCTGGTGCCATTAGGGCCTTCGGGGGACACTGGGGAAGGCTCTGAAGAGAGGATTCCCGGCTGGCCCTCATTCAGGCTGTGGATGAAGACAAATTGCAAGCTCTTTCCAGTTGGAGGGCACCTCCAGCTCCCACAGCAAAGCCTCCATCTGGACTTCCAGGCCTGGGCACAGAGAGAGTCATGAGGAGGGAAGCGGGTTCTGAGGAGATGGCTGTGGGCAGAGGCATGGAGTCAGAAGGAAGGTACCTCGTTGAGACAATGATAGACCAAAGCCAGGAGAGCAAGGAAGGCCAGGACTCCAGCAGCAACTGGGACCCCTCGGGGCATTTGTAGCTCCCAGCTGATGCTATAGCTTTCCTGAGAAAAGAGGAGACAGAATCAGAGGTCTGGGGAAGCAGGAAGGGAGGCTGAACAGGATGCAGTTCTCACCTTTCTGCTCCAAACCAGTGGACTCTGAAACCAAGTCATGGGTGGTTCCTCACCAACCACTGTTGGGCCTCCGGGCTCTCAATCTTCTTTCCAGAGGTTCCTCCACACTCCCAATGTCCCCTCAAGTCAGTTACTGTAGCACCAAGCACCTCCAGGCTAGCCTGATTGCAAATGACCAAACAGGGCCGTTCTGTTTAGCCATCTCATCCTTCGAAAGTGAAACCTTTCCTTCCCAGGCCTCCTGTGAGGGAGGGGCCTTGAAGAACCAGCACAGCCCATAGCCCCAGCTCAGTAGCCGCCCTTCCTGAGGTCCCTCCAGAAGAATTTCATGGGCGGAGCAGATAAACTGACTCCACCTCTCAATATTGTCAACCTAGTCCACAAAGATAATTTCCAATAAATCACGAGCTGTCTCAAGAAACAGAGTTCTCCAGCGCCCCCTGGAGGCTGGTGGTGGGTGTAACCAGAGAGCCAACCTGCTGTAGGCCTGGGCACCCATTTCTCCAGCTGAGGCCATTTAGTGACATGCCAGTAGGGAAACAGGCCAAGGAAGCTCAAGTAATTTGTCAAATCTCACAGTAGGTGGACAAAGTCAAGTGGGTGTTCCACCTCTGAGTGTCTTCCACTCTTGCACGGGCTGTTACCATAGCATTTAGGACAAGCCAGCAGCAGCAGCTCAAGGAGGTGGGTGTGGTCTAGAGTGTGGGTCCTCCGAATTGATCGCACAATCCTTCCAACACAGAGGCATAGGCTGTGCGCTGCTTTCCCACACTGGCCAGGTGGTGATACAGACTGAGGAGCTAGGTCCAGAAAACTGGCAGGGGGTCATGGCATGCTCTTGAGATACCGAGCAGCAAACAGCACCCACACAATGTCTCATCTGTGACCTGTGACCAAGTGAAGACAGATGCAGGAGAGGTGCAAAGTCAAGAAAGGAAGGTGCGAAGCAGCCTCTGGGGTGGGGTGAGCTGGTGAGGGGAGGTTTGAATGCAGACGCACATAAAGAAAGACAGCTCGGAGTGCTGTCTTTACTGGCAGGATCACTGCTGAGAGACCAGGATGCTACACTGGAGTTCTGGAGTTCCCTTTGCTCTGAGTCTCCAGTAGGGTCTACCCTCACTCTGATAGACTCCCCCAAGAACAAATGAAACGGGCTCAAATGCACTCTGCATCCCAGATAACACCACCCAATGTCTCCACCATTTCACCTTTTCCACACTGGACCAGACAAACCTGAGTGCTCAAGCTTTCTCTTTCTTTTTCTCCTCCTCCTCCTCCTCCTCCTCCTCCTCCTCCTCCTCCTCCTCCTCTTAGTATTCAGTGTTCTGCCTGCATGTATGCCTGAACGCCAGAAGAGGGCACCAGATCTCATTACATATGGCTGTGAGCCACCATGCTGTTTCTGGGAATTGAACTCAGGACCTCTGGAAGAGCAGCCTGTGCTCTTAACCTCTGAGCCATCTCTCTAGCCCCCATGCCCAAATTTTTTGTTCTTTTTTTCTCTATTGTCCCCACATGACAGGTTTGTATATGCAAATTTATTTATGGAAGTAACAGGCCAAGATATACTCTATGTCCACAGGGTCAGGGTCTTAGACACTATGATCCTGGGCTAACTCCTGCCTTATGTTGGTTTTCCCAGCTGTCAAAAAGTGCTACTGGGGTGACCGCTGTGAGATAGCAGCTCTCATTGGTGGCACGGGGAAGCAATGGGACTTCTAGTCAAGAGAGAAGAACTGGTGGCTGGCATGGTGACACACGCTTTTAATCCCAGCACTTGGGAGGCAGAGGCAGGGGAAATCTGCGAGCTCCAGCCCAACCTGCTCTATTATGACAAGCTCTGATCCAGTCAGGGCTACAGGTAAGACCTTGTCTAAAAGTACACTGAGAAAGATACCTGGTGTCCCTCTATAGCGACGTAGTCCTGTAGACTCAGAGAACTCCAAGGATGTGTGATAGGGACAATGGTGTCAATGTCTGGCACCTAGATCATACTCGGCTTGAAACAGGGCTCCAACACTGAACAGCTAGTGAGCCCACAGTTGCCAAGGGCCTCTGAGCCCCAGTCCGCAGATCTGCAGAATGGGGCGGTACAAATCCTCCCCTAGGGCCTTGGGAATGCGACAGGCTGCTGCCTGTACCATGCAGAGTGTGGAATGCTGGGGAAGTGTGTGTTGAGGGGTGCAGGGTGCAAGGCCTTTCTATTCAGAGGTTCCACAAGCCACCCCAGATTGGAATTTGTGGCAGGGACACTTCTCACTCACTCCCATCTCAGGGTCCTCAGCCCGGTAACCGGGCATTACCTCCCTCTCTTGCCCCTTTGCAGGGGACAGGACTGGGCTGATATTCCCCAAACTATTTAGGGTTGTTTTAGGGCAACCCATGGTTCTGCCAGGGAGGAGTCATTCCTCAGCTAACTGCTATCATTCATTCCTGTTCATTCACTTCTTCCTCCACAGGACTGGCCCTCACAGAAAATGTGAGGGGTCCGGACTACAGAGCCCCCAGCTTTTTCTGGCCCTCAGGTGGAAAGAGAAGGAAACCCCAAGACCGACAGACAGATCAACTTGAGACTTCCTTGATAGATGTCTGGAGGGCTCTGGTGGGATCAGTGCAAGAGGGAGACTCCTAGCCCAGAGCTCAGCTTGGCCACGGAGTGAGCTGCCAATGGAGGCACCCCTCCCTCACCACCTACAACCTCAGCATGCCCCTCTCCTTGGAATACCCCATCCCTACCCCACTCCCTCCACCCCCTGACGACCCCCAAGAACCTTCGCCTGAAGTGCCAACTGCACAACTGCAAGATTCCCACAGCTAATTATTGATCTCTGTCACGAACACTTCGACCTCTCAGAATCCTCCCAAGGAATCTTGCTTCTCCATCTGCTTCAAGGAGGACGTGTGTTAGGCGGAGGGGGTGGGGAGGCGGGATTGTTAGAGCTGGGCAAGGTCAGCCTGGGCCCAAGGGACTAGACATACAGGGACTAGTAAAGGGTGGGCAGGCAGGCCTGATGGGCAAGGGGTTTGAACAGGGTAGGGCTGCATAGGGTACCCCCCATCTCCCTCCCTGGGTCCCCGCCCCCGCCCTCCCACGCACCTGCGCTGGCCTCCCCCCAAGCCCCGGGGCAGCACTGGGAGATCAGAGGACTTGGAGGAGTTGGGTTCAGGGGGATGGGACGGGGAATTTCCCCCCACGCTTGCCTGGGCCTGCTCCCCTCCCCCTCCCCTGCCAGGTGGGGGGCACCGCTGGGGGAATTCCACCGCAGGCGAGGCTCCGGAGAGCCTGGGCTGGGGTCCTAGGGAGTGGAAGAAATGGGAGCGGGAGAGGGGGCGGGCTGGAACCTGGGGCACAGCTGCCTTCCTCCCCAGACACCAGCTGCCCCTGCCTGTCGCGGGTAGCGTCCACGATTCCTGTCTGTCTCCCGCGATCAGGGGCAGGGAGTGGCCCTTCCTTATTCAAGCCAGCCGCGGCGGGACCTAGGGAGAGACGAGCGTGAGGACTCGGAGAAGATGTGCGTGTGAGCGTTTTACAAGGAATGAGTGGATTGAATGGGTCTACATGCGCGCGTGCACTTGAATTAGAGTGCCTGTGTCCACCTGGTTTGGTGCTGCTGCCGCGGGAGGGAGGCTTGTAACTCTCTTTTAAGATCCTCTAGAGGTCTGCTAAACGGGCTGTCCAGTCCCCCTCCATGCCCTCCCAATAAAACCCACACCAACCCTGGAAGAAAGGGAGAAAGGGATGGAGAGGCATGAGTTGGGACGCTGGGGGTCCCGGGGGAACAGGCGTGGGAGGCGTCTGGACCTGCTGTCTGCGCTCCAATCGCGGGCGGGGTTTCTAGTCTTCCCGGGGGAGGGGAAGAGAAGAGGGGAGGGACCTGTAGGGACAGACACAAGCGGGGCAGGAGACAGTGCTTTAGAGACCTGAGAGAGGGAGACTCTGGGTGCAAGACACAATTCGATGGGGTGGGTGTGGGGACCCAGGCCCAACCCAGAACTAGAAACCGGAGCCTGAGCTCTTCCTCTAGCCAGATACCTCCCCCAGAGACCCTTGAGGAGCGACAACCGGGCCGAGATCCCGGGAAGATATTCCCTGGTCCCCAACCTGCAGCGGCGACCAAAGTAAGACCAGGACAGACGATCAGAGGACAACGCCCCCCTCAGGTCACCCAGACCCTAGAGCAACCCCGGGGGCGTCCCAGGCCGTGCTTTGGCCCAGACAACATCTCTCTGGTTAGGGAAGATGGGGACACTGGTTCTGCAGTGCCTCCTTTTCCTTTTCCTTTTCCCGATGCTGCTGCCCCCGCGCGGAGCCTCAGCAGGGAGCCTTCATAGTCCAGGTGAGTTAGACCCAGCGGTCAGGCCAAAGTCACTGCTGGGCTTCTGGGCTTCTGTGCCCAGGACTGGGGCCCCAAAACTGGGGAGGCGGGAGAGCAGGTGGATGGAGCAGCTGAGCAGTCAGAAGGCTCCCTCGTGGATGGGAACTGACTGGGACTAAGCAGGAGTTGGGAGTCGAGAAGTGAGGAGGCCCAGTGAACGTCCAGACTTCTCCAAAATCTCATGGTTGCCGGGCAGGCCTGTCCGAATGCTTCCAGGTGAACGGCGCTGATTACCGGGGCCACCAGAACTACACGGGCCCGCGCGGAGCCGGACGCCCTTGTCTTTTCTGGGACCAGACACAGCAGCACAGTTACAGCAGCGCCAGCGATCCTCAGGGCCGCTGGGGGCTGGGCGCGCACAACTTCTGTAGGTGAGCAGCGGGGCGGAGCTGTCAGCGAGGCTGGACCAGTGGTGGCTGGAGGCGGGGCAGAGGGGTGGTCTGCTCTGGCCTGGTACAGGACCCTCAGGAAGATTTAGGGGCCGGGCCCATCTCATACTAGGTTCATCAGGTTCGCAAAAGCTTGGAACTAAGGATGTGTCCGACATAGGTGAGAGTTTTCTGGAAAGCCTCCAAGGGCCAGGACAAAAGGTTTACACCAGGGGCCCTTGGACGTGTGATCTGGTTGAACTTGAACCCTGGGATGGTTGGAATGGTTCTTGAAGTACTTAAGCCGCATCTACAACCCATAACAGGAGGGCTCAAAGTCACAGCTTTCTTCTGGAGCGTCAGTCAGGGGCTGAAAGGGGCTGCCCAGCCACAAGGCTGAGGGATTACTACTTGTACTCCTTAGACATTTTATGCAAGGGAGTGGTGAGGACCCACTGTAAAGTCAGGAAGTTCTCCTGTGAGGTCAAGCCAAACACATGAAAACAACTCTCCAGGCTCTTAGGGCGACTTCCCTGTCCCCTCGGAGGTCAAAGTCTAGGAGCAGAAGGAGAAAACTGGAATGTGTCCTGACAGAGAGAGAGAGCATGGCCTCTCAAATGTGGTGGCTACAGGGCAGGGTAGTAGGTGCCTCACCACCTCCCTCTGACCACAGGAACCCAGACGGTGATGTGCAGCCATGGTGCTATGTGCCAGAGACAGAGGAGGGCATCTATTGGCGCTATTGTGATATCCCCACCTGTCACAGTGAGTGAGCGCAGGAGCCTGGGGTGGGATGGCTTTCAGAGGTGGGATTCTTTTTTTTTTTTTTTTTTTTTTTGGTTTTTTTCGAGACAGGGTTTCTCTGTGGTTTTGGAGCCTGTCCTGGAACTAGCTCTTGTAGACCAGGCTGGTCTCGAACTCACAGAGATCCGCCTGCCTCTGCCTCCCAAGTGCTGGGATTAAAGGCGTGCGCCACCACCGCCCGGCCAGAGGTGGGATTCTGACTCTGCTTCCTCCACAGTGCCTGGGTACCTAGGCTGCTTCGTGGACTCTGGGGCACCCCCTGCTCTCAGTGGTCCCAGTGGCACCTCCACAAAGCTCACGGTCCAGATGTGCCTTCGATTCTGCCGCATGAAGGGCTACCAGGTACTGTCTGTGGTCTCAGACCAGTGACCCTTTATCTTGACCTCAGGGCCCTACCCAGCTCCCAACACTGATGCCAGAACTTGACACTAACTTCTGAACCTCACCAATCCCTACTTCCCACCCCACTACTCCACCCATATCTACCATCCCTGCCTTTGGGGTCACCCAGTCTGTGCTCTCAGCTGGCTGGCGTGGAGGCTGGTTATGCCTGCTTCTGTGGCTCTGAAAGCGACCTGGCCCGGGGACGGCCAGCCCCTGCCACCGACTGTGACCAGATCTGTTTCGGCCACCCAGGCCAGCTGTGTGGAGGCGACGGGCGACTGGGCATCTATGAAGGTGAGATGTGAACCAGAATGAGGAGCATCAGTGGGATCTGATGTGCCGTTCCCCAGTGGGAGTGTAATCAGGGAAGCCTGATGCTGGGGTGGGATAAGATCGGGAGACAAGGGTCTGTAATGAGCATGCTCTGTAATGAGCATGAGGTGGAACCTGATTGTGAAGCCCGCACTTGATAAAGGGATTGGTCGGAAGGTGGGGCCTATTTATAGAAACTGGTCGGTGCCAAATGCCAGTACTGGGGCGGGAACGAGGCCTACTTGGAAAGGGGGATCTCTGTGCTGGAAAGAAAGAGCCCGGATGGCCTCAGGTTCTTGACCGTCTTCCCGGCCCACAGTGTCCGTGGGCTCATGCCAGGGAAACTGGACGGCGCCTCAGGGTGTCATCTATTCCCCGGACTTTCCGGATGAGTATGGGCCAGATCGGAACTGCAGCTGGGTACTGGGCCAAATGGGCGCTGCGCTAGAGCTCACCTTCCGCCTCTTCGAGTTGGCCGATTCGCGAGACCGGCTGGAGCTACGCGATGCCTCGTCGGGCAACCTGCTCCGTGCCTTCGACGGCGTCCACCCTCCGCCGCCTGGTCCTCTGCGCCTGCGCACTGCTGCACTACTACTCACCTTCCGCAGCGACGCACGAGGCCATGCTCAAGGATTCGCTCTCACCTACCGTGGTGAGCAGGGGCTAGCCCTCCTGCCCACCTCCTCATCCCCGCCAACACAACCCTACTTCTGGCCACTTCGCCTCATACCTCTCTCCGCAGGGCTGCAGTACACAGTGGAGGACAGCGCATCTCTTAAGGTTTCAGCCGAGACTCCTGCAGGGGACCTGGATGGTACCAATGTGAGCTGCAGCCCTAAGCCCGGAGCTGCACAGGCTTCCGTAGGGGGTAAGGCTGGCTTGCAAGGTGGGAACTAGTAAGGGAGTGGCCCATGACTAGTTGTCCTCATCACACCCTTGTGCCCGCAGCCCGAGTCTTCTCCACCGTGACGGCCATCTCCGTGTTGCTGCTGTTGCTCCTGTCGCTGCTGCGTTTGCTGCGTCGACGGTGCGGGCGCTGGGGCAGGGCTTGAGGGCAGACTCCGCACTGGGTGCCTGATGCCTCGTGCTCGGGGTGTGGGGGCTCTAGTGGGGAGCCGGGACGGGGAAACAAAGCTAAGAAGGTCCTGGGTTCTTAAGGGGGCGTGGCCTTGGGAGAGTTCACGTGGGTTCGCAGGCAGAGCAGGATGTTGGAGGCAAGACCGAGTATGGGTCCAGCTGACGTCTGCTCCCTCTCTAGGAGTTGTCTGCTGGCTCCAGGAAAAGGGTCTCTGGCCTTGGGACCTTCCCGGGGCCCCGGGAGAAGCTGGGCTGTGTTGTACCGCCGGCCCCGAGGGGTGGCCCTGCCCTGTCCCCCAGGAGACTCTCAGGCTGAGGGTCCTGCTGCGGCCTACCGGCCCCTCAGTGCCTCCAGCCAGAGCTCCTTGCGCTCCCTCGTCTCTGCTCTCTGACACCAGACGTCCGGGGTCCATCACAACTTCTGCCAACGAGATGGACACCTGAGATACTATGCAGCACCCTACCTCTTCCTTGTGCCCTTTAAAGGCCGCTCGGTCTCTGGTCATCTCGGGGAGACCTGAATATCGGACAGGAAGCATCCAGTACTATTTGAGAACTTGGTCTGACCCTTGGGGTCCAGATGGTTGAAGCGAGCCAAAGGGCAAAAGGAACCCGACACCCTAATCTTTGGACGTTGATGTGAAAGGTGGTGTCGGGCTTCAGGGTTCTTTGCGCCTCTTTTGGGGACGGTCCCGGACTGCTGCCCTCAATGAAAGGTTAGGGGTCAACAAAAGTGATCTAAAGACTGATCAGAGAACCATAGATTTAAAATAAAGGGCCTATTTTGGTAGTCTTCAGCAAGTTCTTTGTGTGAGGGAGGAGTTATGTTAATAAGGGTGTCGGGTAGGAGGTGAGATGCTGGGCGTCTCAATCGTGAGCTTTCTTGTGAGAGAGGAAGTGGAAGCCGGCTGTGAGTAGAAGTTCCTTTCTGGTACTCGCAAGAGTAGAAAGCCAACCTTTCTTCCCTGGCCTCCTGCCTTAGCCGGTTCCTTGTCTGTACCGGACCCAGCAGCGGAGGGTGTGCCTTGTGGGAGTTAATAGGGAGAGAGTTGGGTGGAACCCAAGCTCTAAGAAGCCTGGCCGGAAGGGCTGGGCCTCTCCAAGAGCTTCAGGTGCGTCACACATCTTAGACGCTTGGGTACCTGGCCAATAGGGGCATATTTTAAAAGTTGGTACGCGCCAGCGTTGTGCTGGACTTCTCTGGAGGGGCCTTAGCCAGCAGCACCTTGGACAGAGTCTGACTATGGGCTTAGGCCATGGGTAGCCAGGCTCGAGGTGGATATCCAAAGGTGCGGCAACCTGGAGATCACTAAGAAAGCTGGGGTGTGAAATGTTGATAGACGCCAGGTGCCAGGCCACTCCAGTAGAGAAGCCCAACCCAGAACACCGCGTCCCAAACCCAGCACCCCATGCAAAGAAGGCTGGAACTGCACAAGTTAAAAAGAGAAGGCCGGGGCGGTCTCGGGGTGGAGCATCCCCGCCCGCAGCGCCCATTGGTCCTTACAACGTGAACGTCAGGAATCCAGCGCGCGAAACATGGGCAGGGTGGCGGGGGCGAGGAGCCGGGGTGGAGCCTGGCTTCCCCTCCAGCGTCCGGCCGCGCCCGTCCTCAGGGCTGCGGCTAGAAGCCGGGCTGCCGTTGCGGCCAACGGGATCGCTCCCTGCGGTGCTCTGCCACGGTGGAACTGGACACACTGAGCTTCAGTAGCCGGGTCGCCAGCTTCCTTTCCCTTGCGGGGGCGTCGAGCTCGCGCGTGCGCCGCGAGAGAGGGAAGAGGGCCGGGACCCCCGGTTTACCCTACGCTGGGCGACCGGACAGCCCGGAGGTGAATTGGGATGAGCTTCCCAGCTCTGCGACTCCGCTGAGGGAGACGCCTGGGAGCAGAGGGTCGCTGGCCCGCCGCAGTGCGTGAGGCCATGGCGTTCCTTTCCGGGCCGCGCCTGCTGGACTGGGCTAGCTCGCCACCGCACCTGCAGTTCAATAAGTTCGTACTGACTGGCTACCGGCCGGCCAGCAGCGGCTCGGGCTGCCTGCGCAGCCTCTTCTACCTACACAATGAGCTGGGCAACATCTACACACACGGTAGGTGAGCGGCTACCTCATGCTTTTTGCTTCCTGCACTAGCGGCCGCCTTGTATGTGAGCGCAGCAGCCCCCCGAGTCCAAGTCCTAGGCTGCCCCTGCCCTCGTTGGGCCGGGCGTCGCGGTGACAAAGCTGCCATTGTCCCAAGCTTCGTTGCCAGCTTCTGCTTTTCCAACAGTGCCCCAGGGCAGGAGAGGGGAGCAGAGTGGGAGCCAGCTTAATCCCGCTGAGCTCTAGGGGTAAGGATCCTAATATCTCCTTGGTAATCCTGTGCCCTGGGCACCTTCCCCCTCTAGCGCTCGTCCTGGAGATGGGCGTTCACTGGCTAGGAGGAGTTAGAAAGAAGAAGACCGCCCCTGCCCGGCCCAAGCCCCTCCTCGTGGGGGCCTAAAGTCCCTGCCACAACTAGCAGTACCGTGGGGCTCGGCACGGTGGCCCTTCCCCCCTCCCCTTTGCGGCCCCTAGAGCTCTGCTGACACAGCCCTGGCCTGTCCTTGAGCCGCCCCAGCTGGGAGAGAGGACTAGAGCCAGTAAGGTTTAGCTTTGTGCTTTTCCCTAAAGGAGAGGGAGCACGTTATTGTTTTTGTCGCACCCCCACCAAGAGTGAGGCTGATGCCTGCTTTTGTCCTCTGTTAGGGCAATGCCAACTGCCTGTGGGGAAGGGTGGGAATCTCCAAGAAAGGCCAGCACCCGGAAGGAACAGAGCTCCTAAAAACACCCCCAATAGAGATAGGATAATCTTATTTCGGGCCCCTTCCTTTCGTTCTGGCCTTTCCTTACCTTCCTTCTTTATGTAAAGTAAAAAGACCCAAAGCCTCCATCTGCCTGGGCATTTGACAATGTTAAGTAACCCTGAGTCTGGTTTGTCCCTCCTGTCCTAATCAGAACTCAGGCTGAGGTCATGCTCCTCCAGGATTCTGCAGACACTCCAGGACAGATTGGCAGACCTGGTCAGGCCTCCTGTGTGGCTTCAGCATCAGTCAAGACAGCTCAGGAGTTAGTCTATCCTCTATCCTCTTCCTGGTTGCCATGCTCAGCTGGGACAAGGCCACTCAGAACTGGTTTCCACACCTCAAAGTAGGGTTCATTGTCTCTACTTAGAGACCTGCAGTGAGCCCTGACAGTAACACTTCTGAAAATTTGGAGCCCACAGACCTACAGTGTTGAACTCTGTCTGCTTTCTCTGTCTTCCTTGTGTTTTTGATAGGTCATTTTAAATTTTTTATATTTATATGTTAACTTAGTATCTGTGTGGGTAGGTGGGTGTACATCTGCCCAGGCATGTGGAGCTTAGAAGGTAACTGTGAGGACTGGTTCTCTTCTACCATGTGGAATCCAGGATCACACTAAGATTGTCAGGCTTGGCAGCCTTTCTATGAGCTATCTTCCTGGCCCCAGTTGATACCTTTTAGATGTGCTTTTCCTTTATGCTGATGTGTCTGGTGGGTAACTCTTCTTTCCTTGTAGGGCTAGCCCTGCTGGGCTTCCTGGTGCTTGTGCCAATGACCATGCCCTGGGGTCAGTTGGGCAAGGATGGCTGGCTGGGAGGTACACATTGTGTGGCCTGTCTGGTCCCCCCTGCAGCCTCTGTGCTGTATCACCTCTTCATGTGCCACCAAGGAGGCAGTCCTGTGTACACCCGGCTCCTTGCCCTGGATATGTGTGGAGTCTGCCTTGTCAACACTCTTGGTGAGCCAGGGTCCCAGGAAGGTGGAGGCAAGGGCTACTGGTGGGAACCCTGGGTAGGGAAGATCAGCTAGCTTGGACTGATATCCTTTTTCTGCTCTCTCTCTCTGCAGGGGCCCTGCCCATCATCCACTGCACTCTGGCTTGCAGACCCTGGCTTCGTCCAGCCGCCCTGATGGCTTACACTGCACTGTCAGGTGTGGCTGGCTGGAGAGCCCTCACTGCCCCCTCCACCAGTGCTCGGCTTCGAGCCTTTGGTTGGCAAGCCGGGGCCCGCCTACTGGTGTTTGGGGCCCGTGGTGTAGGACTGGGCTCAGGGGCTCCAGGCTCCCTGCCCTGCTACCTGCGCATGGATGCATTGGCATTGCTTGGAGGGCTGGTGAATGTGGCACGTCTGCCAGAGCGTTGGGGGCCCGGTCGCTTTGACTACTGGGGGAACTCCCACCAGATCATGCACCTGCTCAGCGTGGGTTCCATTCTCCAGCTCCATGCTGGTGTTGTACCTGACCTGCTCTGGGCTGCCCACCATGCCTGTCCCCCAGACTGAGCTGTCTCCTAGCTGCCAAACCAGCTTGCCCACAGCTTCCTGAGACAAATAATCCCATCTTCCCTCCTTTGCTGATCTGCAAGGGGCTGGTTCCCTGGAAGAAGCAGCACATGGGACTTCCGATCCGGGAGACCACTCTTCATTCCTCCCAGTGGATTAATCTCTCCCTGCTAACTTCCCTCCAGGCACTGTTTTACTGTCAGCTAGAAGGAAATCGTTCTTTGAGCTTCAGTTTACCCTGTTTGACCCGTGAGAGTCTCTAAATTCATGTCTGACAGTGAGTCTGGCCACTTTTCCAAGTCTCCAGCCCGGAACCACTGCTCATATCTTGCCACTCCCACAAGATACTTCCTGGATTCTTGAACTAGCCTCTCTGCTCCTGCTTCCTGACCTCCATCTTTCTGCCCTGCATGCCAAACCTCTCAGCAGCCAGAATTGTACCTTTCCTGTCATTCCTGAAGTCAGGATGCAGGGCAGTGGGACCAGGCCCTTCTCTCAGGACCAAGTGGGCATTGGTCCTGCTTGTATTGTCTGGCCAAGAGACATGAGAGGAGCGGCTGCTTTCCCTAGGCAACAGGCACAGATGTGGAATAGTGGCTTTGGATACAGGCCTCACTGGCCCAAGGACTCGCCTTCAGTGCCATGGTCTGACTGACTGACCTGCCCACCAGAGACATGTTTGCTCAGGAAATTGCTATACAGTGCGTGGTTCTAGTCTGCTGGCCAAAGGCCACTCTAGCAGATGGTCACCTCATAGCCAGATCATCCCAGAGGCCTAAGACCCTAGGCAACATCAATAAAGGGACAAGAAGTGCTATGTAGCCACATGAGCAACCTTGGGTGTTCCCAAGATTCATTACTTTTTATTAGATACAGAAGTTTCCGGAGGAGAGGTAGGAAAGGGGGTCAGAAATTTAAAAGCACCAAGGCTGGGCCTGTGGCTCAGGCTGGGTCTAGTGAGTCCTCAAACAGGCTGAGGAGGTTCCGTGGCTCAAAGGTAGGACAGGGACCTCTAGGAAGCTCTGAGTCCATGTCAGTTAGGTCTAGGGCATCCCTTTGGGGAGGAAAGAAAAAGAAATAGGATGTTAGGTCCCAAAGTCCACTGTCCCCAGGCCTAGGCCCCGGGCTTGCTCACCTCCTCACCTTGGTTTGTACCTGCCTCGAGGGGTAGAGGTTCTTCTCGTGATCCGGGACAGGATGGTCTCTGGGGAGAGTGAGGGACTACAAGAAAGGACAGGTCAGCAGGGTGTTAGGGTTGAGGAAGGTAGGACCAAGACAGTTCTGATCCTACTTGGTTCCAGGCCCCTGCTTGGTGAAGCTAGAAGGCCGTAACTGAAACAATAAACACACACTGGCAGCTGTCAAGTCTTCCTATCTGACCACATTCAGGGGTCATTTCTGTTCCTTTTCAGGTTCAACTGAGTTGGATGTCAAATTTTGGTAAATGAAGCTTTTCTACCATTTTGCTATGTTACAAAGAACCTTCCAAGTGAGGGAAACGGCACTATAAAGAGGGATCCTGAGAGTGTATGCTGCTTCTTTGTAGCAGTTTCTAATTACACCCTTTCCCTTGGCTAGCAGACACCTGGGACAAAGGGATCCTCTCAGGACAGGACTTACCAGGTTCTGGGAAGTATCCACCCAGGGGAGGACAGCACTTTGTTCCTGAACAGGGGGAGCCTCTACAGAGGTCAGGACTGCAATCCTGTGCTAATAACTGGTATAAAGCTGTGCTGAATGTCACAGTTGCCCACATCCACACAGCCAGTCTTTGTCCTTTGGGTGTGACAGAGTCCCATCCATCCTCCTTTCCAGGGGGCCTGGGACGCCTTCCATGTAGCACTGACCACAGTGATGTACATACACACACCCTCTACCCCAATGCCCTAGACTCTCACCCACCCTATGCTGTCATCATCCCAGCTGGAGATGCTGCTGTCCAGGAGTGGGCTGCAAGGTGGAGAGCCAGGCGGTGTGGCCGGTGGGCCTGGAGGCTGCAGCCAGCTGGCAGGATGAGCCAGACCATGCCAGAACCAGCAGAGCAGAGTGATCAGTGCCTAAGGGGAAAGGGAGCATCAGAAATCAAGCCCTGTGACAAAAATCACAGCACTTGGAGTCTGAGGTAGGAAGATAATGAGTTCAAGGACATCCTGGTCTATACAGTAAGTTAAAAGGGAGACTAGGTAGATCCCCTGAGCAAGGAACAGTTGGAGTATACCAGTAAGCACCATAGAGGCTTACCTGTAACAGGGCCCAACCTCGACTTAGGGCTTCTGCAGCCGTATACCACAGAACATTCCAGGGACGTGGCTGCCTCAGCATGGGCAGGGCCAGCAGGGCCTCAGCTGTGGCTCGCAGCTGGGGGTTAGGCTCCAACATCATGGTGAGGACAGAACGAAGCTCAGAAGACAGACCTGTTCATGAGGCAGAGCCATGCATGTCACGTAGCTCAATGGTGTCCCTACTACTAGCCACCCCTTGCCAGAGAAGCTGATAGTAGTTGGCGCATTTCCTGAGCCCCCACTCACCAGCAGTGAACTCAGGGGGCAAGTATCCCTGGCGCAGCTGCTGCCAGCCCTCCCCACTATGGGGTAGTTCCATGTTGCAGGCCACTTCCAAGATGGTGAGACCCAGGCTAGTCAGGTCAGGGCATGAAGAAAAAGAGAGGCAAAGTCAGCTTTGTGACAGAGATCCCAGTCCTATGCAGCATCTTGGTAAGAAAAGGCTGCTCTTTTCTCCCATAAACCATGAACTTAGTGTAAAAGGGGTGAGGAGCTTTGAGGAGGCCTCTAGAAGGCCAGTGAGCAGCAGTCAAGATGGAGACCTTGCTGTGAAGCAGAGACCACACACTTAAGCAGTTAGCATGTTGCAGTGGAGGTCCATCAGAACCCCACTGGCATGTAAATTAGTTTCTATGAATATTAGGGTTACACCATCATTCTGTAGAAATAACCAGACTACAACTGAGGCAGAGTAGTAGTAGCCAGTGTGGACTCAGAACCCTGGGTAGTCTCAGATGCGGCCCTCAATCTCGCTGCACCCTCCTCTTCCAGTGCTGGGGCATACCCACAGAGCTGCTAGCCAAGCAGATGGCCAGCCTACAGTGTAAAGGCTTCTAGAGGGTTTGTTGCTTACTCTAGTGACCCTCAGCTAATGGGCAGGGGCAACACCTCCTAGGCCTGAATGCCTTCCTACCCTAGTAGCAGGAAAGAACTCCTCTGTTGGGCAGTCCCCCTTTCTGTTGATCAGTCCTCAATAAGGGCCTCATATAGTCTTTCATGACCTCGCCACATCCCAGCCTTACCTGAACACATCTGCGGCTGTCCCGTAGGAGCCCTGCAGCAATTCTGGGGCCATGTAGCGTGGGTCTCCCTCCTGGGCCTCACCAGCGCCAGTTGAACCCAAATCCACCAGTAGTCCAAAGTCACCCAGCTTGCAGCGGCCCCGGGGCCCCAAGAAGATGTTGGCAGGCTTGACATCAAGGTGAACTAGGCCTTGACTATGGAGATGATCCAGAGCCAGAAGAGTGTCCCGCAAGTAGCCCCAAACCTGGGCTTCTGGCAGGCTGGCCCCCCAGGCTTCACAGTGTTGCTGCAGGCTGGGCCCACAGAGCTCCGTTTGTAGGTATAAGATGCCGCCCTCCTCCCAGGCCTGTTCCAGTCTCACACAGTGTGGGTGCTGCCCCACCTTCTCATGGCCGCCTACCTCAGCCAGCTTGCGAGTTCGGTCTTTGGGGCCTCGGAATGGAGACAAAGAACGTTTAACAGCATAGAGTCGGCCATCTTCTTTGGAGCGCACCTGGAAGGGAGGTGTTGCCCAGAGGTAGGATGGGGGAAGTCAGAGGATGCTGTTAAGACTTCACTATGCAGGGGAATACACATCAGTCTTGGACCTCTGCATGCAATGATAATGTACTAGATATATGTTCATTGCAGTAGAGTGGACTGGAGACACAACAACAGAGGAGATGGGGCAGACTATGCCCTCTGGCCAGGGTCCAGTGCTAAGAGAAAAATTTAGTCCCAAAACAACAGGGTAGTATGCTCTGTTGTGCCCAAGCTTTCCTCTGGAGAGGATAGGTGATCCAAGGGCCTGTGCTACTTGTATTTTAAATTAAAATTGCCTTCAAATAGTGTTTGTGTAAAGGAAAGCTACTGTTTTAGAAGACAAATAATTGGAAAATTAATACCATATTAAAGAAAACAAAATTATAATGGGAAAGGGTACAGTATTTGAGCCTGCTAGCCTAGGAAAAAAGGTTGGCATTGGTTCAGTCAGTTCCGGGTCAGACAGAACCAGTCATGATCTCAGCACACCATCTCCAAGCAGAGAGGTGGCGACAGGGAACTGCTGCGGGTTGTGCCAGGATCTGGACAAGGGGCCAGTGCATGTTAGGCCTGGGAGTGGGGAATGGGAGGTGGCTGTAAGCCCTAGAGAGGCAAGCTATCAAAGAATAAAGGGCAGCAGGCTATCTATCCCACCAATGCAGAGGCTTCCCAGAGAAGCCTGGGAAACCACCCTTCATTTACCTTGAAGACCTCTCCATAGGAGCCACGACCTAGGCGGCTAAGCCTCTGGAAGTTCTGCTGAAAGAAGGACTCTGGCCGGCGTGGGTCATACCCAGGACTCTGAAGGGTCTCTGAGGTCTCACTCAGGAATGACACCCTCCGGGGCTGGGGCTGGTGCCAGCCTGGGGTCCGAGGAGGGAAGAGACGGCTGATAGGGATGCTGCCCTTGGCAGGGGGCCGAGGTGGAAGGCTCCGGCTGAGGCCCCCAGGTCTTTTGAGGGAGAAACCAGGTTCTGCATGTCGGAAGTAGACTGGAACTGGGATGGGGGTACCACTTAGGGGCGGTGGGGTGCCCTCAGTGGGCATGGACATGGTCAATACTAGAGGATCAGAGCACAGAGCAACGTGTCCACACTCAAACAGCGCTTGATTCTGTGGCCCACAAGAGAGCCACTTCTTTGCCACACACACGTTCTACTTTCCACATGAAGGTCGTGTGGACCACAAGCACCTGCAGAGAAGAAGAAAAGCCATCATACACTTGCACACTGTGCCATCTCTAGCTTGGAGGTGACATAAATACGAAGTCAGAACCATGAGCCTGTATCTCCAAGGGCCTCATACCCAGCAGGGGACAGTATAAGCCAGCAGCTCAGGAGATGCCCATTCAGCCTTCTTTCTGCAGCATCTCCCAAGGCCCTGAGACAGAAAAATCATGCCATCTCTCATCACCAACTCCACAGTAAAAACAGTTTCTGAGTTCCAAAACTTGACCCTCTTCTAGAATATGCATATAAAATGAGGAGACCTGTGGCCTTTCCCCCGGAAACAGGTACAATAGATGAAAACTATACAACCATCTTAATCTTTGGATATGTTACTAAAGATAGAAAATGAAAGAGTTGAAGAAAGTCTAGCAAATCTTGGTGAGAACATGGAGAAAGAGTAGAACCTGCAAGTCTCCAGCGCTGTAGGCACATGTCCAGTGAGGCTCTTGCTGCTGCAGCTCCCTGTCAAAGTTAGTGTCTGCCTAGAAGAGCAGGAGTCAGCATTCCTCATCTCCCACCCACTCCACAGTGCACAGGCTGGATCTCTGTTGAGTGACAGACTAACCAGGGGCTTTCTTCTCTCCTGTCCTACTGACAGGTGATATGGAGGTTCTACTTGCAGGCTTAGCAGGCTGAGAAGCCCATGGTCCAAGCTCCAGCACATTCATAGGAAGAGGCAAGCAGAAAATGCCAGAGACCTCCGTCCTGTCCCAGCACCCTGCTTTTTAGGCAGCAGGGCCAGCCAGGAGGAAGTGCGCCATTGTCCACAGCACAGCTTAGAGAAATTACCCAGGGTTGAGGTAGGCTGTAAAATAGAGTCCTAAGGCTGTCCCTAGAAAAACTTGACTTTGAAACAGGGTGAAGTTCATACCTGGCAATGCTGTCAAAAAAGTAAGGAGTAGGGGAGTGTATGGAGCTAGACACAGTGAGTGTCACCTAGAATCCCTGCACTTGGGAGGCAGAGGCAAGAGAATAAGGAGTTCAAGGCTATCCTTGGCTACATATAGAATTCAAGGCCAACATGAGTTACATAAGACCCTTGCTCCTGCTCCAAAAAAAAAAAAAAGGGACCTAAAAGATGACTCAGCAGGTAAAAGTGCTTGCCTTGCAAGTCTGACAACCTCAGTTCAAGCCCCAGAACCTACATAAAGGTGAAAGAAGAGAACAATTCCACAAAGTTGTCCTCTGACCACCACATATGTGCCATGGCACACTCCCCTCAACCGTGATTTTTTTTTTTTTTCCGAGACAGGGTTTCTCTGTAGCTTTTGGTTCCTGTCCTGGAACTAGCTCTTGTAGACCAGGCTGGCCTCGAACTCACAGAGATCCGCCTGCCTCTGCCTCCCGAGTGCTGGGATTAAAGGTGTGCGCCACCACTGCCTGGCTCAACCGTGATTTTTTTTAGTGAATGAAAACTTTATGTCTTAGTTGCTGGATTGGGCATGGTGGTATATCCCTGTAATTTTAGCCAAGGAGGACTGAGGCAAGAGGTTCACAAATGTGAGGTTAGCCTGGGCCACATATTCAGATCTTGTCTCAAAACGAAGGAAGAAGGAGATAGAGTTAAGAGGACTGACTGCTCTTCCAGAGCACCTGAGTTTGATTCCCAGCACCCACATGGCTGCCTGTAACTCCACTTCCAGGGAGTTCTACTTCTTTTGGCATTGCCCACATGTACAACAGATATAGATTTAGACAAAACAATACATATAAAATAAATAAACCCATACGCAAAAAATAAATCTCAAAAAATTATTTTAAAAAACTAGGAAGCCGGGAGGTGGTGGGGCACACCTTTAATCCCAGCACTCGGGAGGCAGAGGCAGGTGGATCTCTGGGAGTTCGAGGCCAGCCTGGTCTACAAGAGCTAGTTCCAGGACAGGCACCAAAGCTACAGAGAAACCCTGTCTCGAAAAACCAAAAAAAAAAAAAAAAAAAAAAAAAAAAAAAAAAAAAACCTAGGAAGAAATACTGGGCATGATGATGGTATACGCCTTTAAACCCAGAACTCAGGAGGCAGAAGATCTCTGAGTTCGAGACCAACCTAGTCTACACAGAGAGATAGATCCAGGACAGTCAGGGACATATATCCTGTCTCAAAAAAAGGAAGAAAAAAAGGGGGGAGAGAAAAGGAATAAGAAATGTAACACTTCACGATGGTAGAGCACCTCCCTGGCATGTGATAGGCCCTGCTTTGCTCCCTTCTACCAAAACCAAAACAATACATATTCTGGGAGCATGAATGTCCTTGTCCTCATAAACAGCACTAGGGAAACCAGGAATGTTAAACACACGGGGTTGTCCTACCAAAGAGATGTAGAACTTCAGCTCAGAAGGTTGGTACAGGAGGTAGCTAATAGCCTAGGTGACCCCTGTGCTATCTATACAGCCAGACCATACCTGGCTACCCCAAGTTCCCACAACCAGAACCAGAGGTGGCTAATAGCCCAGATGATGACCTCTATGTATCTGTATGATGGGATGGAGACCAGATCTGATAACACAAGTAGCCTATCTCTAGAACTGAGAAGAGTTTTGATCTAATTATGCTTCCTTGTACACAGGGGATTGTTACAGCAGGAAACCTTTTGTTTCTCAAACTATACTGTACTTAACTATGCCTACAATAAACTGCCCAGTGTCAGACTCTAGAAGTTTGAACCAATACCGGCTACTGAGTCACGTCGAACTGGATTTCCTTCTTGCTCCTCACAGATCAACCCTTTGCATGTCCTGGTGGTTGCAGAGGCCTGCTAACACAGCATATACAAATAACTAAAGGCCTAAATAAAAGGGAAAACATGTTCATGGTAACAGTCTTAAAGCTGTGGGCTGGGGTATATAGTTCATGGTACAGTGTTTGCCTAAAGCAATATACCTCCAGAGGCCTTCACCTCAGCCTTGGTCTGCAGATTAGGAACAATCCCTGTTAGAAACCCAGCTAGCTTCTCTGTAGAAAACTACGAGCACGTCGGCAGTTGGCACACACCTTTAATCCCAGCCCTCTGGGAGGCAGAGGCAGAGGCAGGAGGATCTCAAGTCTGGAAGACAGACTGATTCTATAATTCATGTGGATGTTCAGACCTCCTCCCCAAAGTCGAACTATCATAAAAGACTAAATTTGAGGCAGGCGATGGTGGTGCATGCCTTTAATTCCAGCACTTTGGAGGCATAGACAGGCAGATCTCTGTGAGTTCAAGGCCAGAGGCAAGCCTGGTCTACAGAGTGAGTTCCAGGACACGCTCCAAAGCAACACAGAAAAACCCTGTCTTGAAAAGCTAAAAGAAGAACAAAAACAAACAAACAAAAAAAAGACTAAATTTGGAAGACTTACATTTCCAGATTTTCAAAATTTCTTCATATCCATAGTAATTAAAAGTTTGTCCACAAAAAGATGAAGGGGATAGAACTAAGGTTTCTGAATTTATGGTTTAATCATTTTTTCTTTGAAGCTGATGGTGCACACCTTTAACCCCAGTACTCATGAGGCTGAGACAGGAGGATCTCTGTGTGT